CTGCTTTCTGGAACTTTAGCCACATTGGAAGATATTTGGGGTGCTGAGTTCAAATTTCATAGTAAACTATTGCATTTATTTCTTAAAAGAACCCCTGTAATTCAGCAGAAAACTTGAAAATTAGGAGCCCTGACCTGGATCCCTAGATCTGATACAATAATCCTTTGGAAGTTTCTGCAGAGGAGAACCTCTAAGATTTCTATTAATCCTCCTTAGCCAGGGAAGACTAAGATTTGAACAACATATTTACCCTTTAACAAAAAGTGCAGAGAAGTCGAGTGGCAAGTAGTTTCTACTACAGCTAAACAAATATATATCTCAAAATTATCTGGACAAAAGACTGATGCATGTATCTTGGGATAGGGGCATTTCCAGCACTCTTTGAATTATAATGACTGTGAGATCAGAAATATTTCTTCTCCTGAACAGTCTACTACTTCCAATAGTAATTTCTCAAAAGTCTCCATGAAATGTATGTACTCCACCCACCCTATCATCTGCCCAGGAAAAGGGTGGTCTTATTTTATGTTTCTAGGATTGTAATTACATTAACTGAAGACAGTTGCATTAGGGAGGGATTATTTGATTAAAAAAGGCATGATGCTATGATGACATCATCATAATGTTGCCCCTTTGTCTCATAAAATGGTTTTTCTTCTAGGTACTGGTAATTCCTACACACCTTTTGCTGATTAATGTCCTAGGATGCATAAGGGTTATACTTTGATTTAGTTACTCAGCCAGCTCCATGGAAAGGTATCCACAGAAGCTCTGGTAATCCAGCATGCGGAGGACTGGCAGGACAAAGGACTTCTAAAGACAAATAAGAAAAATAAGCCAAATTACTTTTTTACTATCTTATTACTAAGAAGAAACTATTAGAGATTAATTTTCTGATTCTGTGGGTGACCTGTTTTATGATCTTAAGCTAATTTGTTTATTTTAAGAATTCAGTTTTCCATTTTTACCCTGTGGTTGTCAAGGGTTTACACGTACAGTATAACATAACTTAGCATGTGGGAATCCTCCAGCAACTTTCATTTGATTACTTTATATAAGGAAATTTATGTGAAGAAATGCATATGAAGAAATTTAATCCTGCATATAACCTTATAAAGCCTTGGTGATAAAATATAAATACATACTGAAATCTTTTTTTACTTCAAGCAAAGTAAAAACAGTAAGTGCATTTTGAAAACAAAGACATAAACCTTTAAGCATTGAAGATATCTGATTAACAGCAAAGGTCTAGTGACTGATAAGAACTGCCTTTATTTTGAAATAACTTCAAAGAGATTAAATTAATCAGTAAAGCAGTTCCACAAGGTGTGAACATTGCCATTAGTTATTGCTAAAAGTACAACAAAAATCATGTGTTAAAGTGTTTAACTTCTTCATGTATCAGATAGCATTCATTATCAGTGTAAACTGGCATCAATTTTCCACATGCATTTACTGATTTTGTGTGTTGCTGAAGATGACATAGCCTGATCAAAAATAGATAAATTCTTCCCAGAATTTTGAAATGGTTTCCCTGCTCTTGTCAATGAGATGTACCCAAGTCCTAGAAAGATGGATGAAGTAGGATCACTCAGTGGAATTTTTGCCCTTGGATATTTTACACCCCCAACTCCATGCCATAGCTCTTATCTGTAGCAACTCCTAAGCTGGCATTTCCAGGAAAAAAAAGGCAGATTCTGTGCACACAGAGTGTAGAAGAAGTCTTTTTATGTGTGTAGAGGCGTGTTTGAGTCTCCATTCCGACTGCCAATCCATTGCAGCTCACAAGTACCTCATTACTCAAGCTAAAGGCTGGAGGGCCAAACAGCTCTCACTGTTGGAGACACATGTAAAAAAAAATGGGATTTACCACGAAGGCTTGTTATATTGCATTCATAGACAACTGTGGGGTTTTTTTATAAAATAGGATTTTCCCAGAGCTTATTCTTTTTGGAATATTTATCTCCTCCATAATGTCCTTAGAACTCAGGATAATGACATATTTGTAGGTATTGTAAAAAAACTGTGGTCAGCAGTCCCTTGTTTGTAAGAATTCTGCTTTGAATACTGATCTACAGTATTTTATTACCATGAAATTACTGGGCCAAATCCTCAAAGAAGATGCAAATTATTAAAATTTGGGTTAGTTTAACTAATGTAAATCGATATACTTTTACTAACTATAGAGGAGGAGCAGCAAGAGATCTGACCCACAATAAAACCCTTGACTCTATTCCTTTTGTTTTGGTTGTAAAAGTAGAGGTTTTTTTGGACATACCTACATTACTTATAATAAGCTGATGAGAAAACTGAAAATAAATCAACCTCTTACTCTATTACAGTTCTTGATTTTCTTTCTTTAGGCTGTTTTCTAGTGTTGTTGATGTTTGCTGGAGATCTGGTGATGCTCCAGTTGTTATGATTAATACTTGTAACTGTGACAGGTTTAAGCTCACAGTATTGATAGAGTACATTTATACTTTTCAAATTCTACTAAAATGAACAGTCCTAGCAGGAGGTAGTATTTTTCGTGTTCTGGAAAAATACCAGTCAGCAGGGGTTTATCATCTCTGTTAAAACAACATATTTAGGTTAGTTTTGATTTAATTATTCTAAAGATTTCTTCTCATTTAAAATATTTATGTGAATGTGAAAGTAGAGGACAAGTTTATATTAAAAGTTTTCCCCTTTTAAGCGTGTACTTTAATTCTGGAGAGAAATCAAGCATGGCATGAAAATAAAATGGAAACAGTAACACTGAGAATAAAACACTCAAAACAGGATATCTAGCTTTTGAAAAAAAAGCCATTAATAAAATGCAAAAGTTGTCAATTGTTAGCTTCCCTGAAAACTATATGTTGAATTAAACCTTGTGTTTCCTATTTTGGCGAAACAAGTAGTTACCATTTAAGTTAATTAGTAAGGAAAACCTCTAGGGAATATATATTCCTACACTACTTTGTTGTTCATTAGAGAATGAAATATAAATATAAATATAACCTTTCTTAGTCTCTGTTAGCAAGCTCTGTTTAGAAGTGCAAGGAGAACACAGAGCTGTCTGGCCTATTAAAGTAGAAATGGGAACTTCAAGATGGGGGAAACAGCACTGCATTGATCCATGCAAATGAAAGCTTAATTTTCTGAAGTCCCCTCTTTTTTTTTCATGTGGGTCATTTACAGTAATGCATAAAATGCAGATAATTTCTTAAATATTTAAGGCAGTAGTTGTAGCTCGATGGGCCTTTATTTTCTTTCTTCACCTGTGGCTGTAATGAATATTTCTGTCAAAGTTTATCTCTTTTTCATATTTCTCTGGAAACCTCTTTATCTCATTGCATTAGTTGTCTCCCTCCCTCAGTTAAATTCTTCATGTATTCCTCTCTGATACTAATTTGCTCCTCTGGTTCAATGTATAGTCAAGAGAGTAATTTATTCATCTTCAACAGCACCACTGAAATCACAGAAGTACTTGATGCCCTGATTTATTAAGGCACTTGAGGTCAGTGCCTTAAGCATGTGCTAAAAATGAAGCAAATGCCAGCATGACCTCCAAAGGATTAGTCACCTGCATAATGGCTTGCAGGGTCCTTAAAAATATGAACTTGGGGAACAGATTTGCTACTGGTGTTAAGGTTAGTGCAGCTGTACTGGCAAGCTAAATGATGCTGACAATACTTTCAGTGGAATTATAATGAGTCGACACTACCCTTTTTTTTTGTCTTATGCCATGCTGATACAGGCCAAAAAATAAAAATCAGAAGTTGGAAAATTTTTTTCCATCGTTTTAATTGTTTAATTGTTCATATGCCACTTAGTGCTCAACAGGACTATTGGCATCTCAGTAAAGAACTATATTGTTACAGCATATCTTTTTTTTTTTGCCATTTGATTTTTGTGGAGTCATTTGGTCACGCTCCTTCACATTTGCTTAATAACAGGACATCTGTCATGTCACTACTGGTGAAAACAGCAATTGCAAATTGGATGAGACAAAACTTAGATACCCTAGATTTGCAGGTTAAAGTGGTTTGTATTAGGAAAATATGGATAAAAAAAAAAGAATTTGTGGAAATTCGGAAACTGGGAATTTTTCTCACTTTTTTTTACTTCTTCCTAAGGAAAAAAATGTGTTGTATAGAGATGTTCCTTTCTTTTTGATCTTTTTTGTTCTTTATAATAGTGTCCCTTAAACTCCTGTGTTGACTATGAGAGTATATCCTTTCAAGCCAGCTGGCAAAATTTTTTAAAAGTTAAATATCTGCCTCAGTCGCTTTATTCTACATGAATTCACCGTAGCTTTATTATGTATCTTTTTGCAATTAAAACTGTAAAACCAATCCCATCCTATAGAACAGATTGCAGACTTTTCTCTGGTGCTTTATGCAGATTTTTGAAACACTCTCTTTGCAAATTCTATTTAAAAAATGTTCTGGTTTAGTGGCAGCATTATTGCATTTCAGAAATAATATCCTGTAAAATGTCTGTAACAAGGTATTTTATCTGAAAGCCCATTGTAGCTTTCTCATTGTGAGTTTCAAGCTTCTGCAACAATAAGAGGGTTCTTATTCAAATGTATACTATTGCATTCATTCCTCTAATAGCAGCATTCCATCATATCAACCTGAAAATAGACAAACAATTGCACAGAGTACTTGTTATTCATCCTCAATATATTTTATTTCGTTGTTAGATATCAGACTTTGGAATAGTCATATGGAGTATTTGCATTAAACACAGGAATAAAAAAGTTATTTCCTCTGAGTATACATATGCTTTCTATCTGTATTTCCTAGGGATATAAAAAGTTACTGGTTTAGTCACACTGGTCATTTTTATTACCTTCCTGAAGACAATGGAAATTGCTCAAGGCTCCATATGAAACTGTCTCCGAGTGTAAATTAAATCTATGGTTTAGTCTGTTGTAAATAGAGAAGAATGTACTCTTAGATAATAAATATTTTTTGTGTATATCAACAAGTTGTCTATTTTTTTCTTCCTAGATACACCTTTAGTTAAAATCATTTCTTCCAATTCATGGCCTGAAGAAGGACAAACTATAATTTTGACTTGTGAATCCAAAGGAAAACCAGTGTAAGTGATTTAACAAGTAATATGTTTTTTTGTTATTTTACTTATTCTGCTGTGACTGCAATCCTCAACTGCAGAAATCTTCTGGTTTTGTCTCATCCTGGGGTGTAAAGTAATCTCTGGTATAGAAAACCCCTTGAAGCCTGTCTTCATTAAGTGTCTATAGAGGATTGGTCTTTTACTTTGTCATCTATTTTAGTTTTTTAGGAAGAATTCCAGCTGTGAGATACTTTTTTTTTTTTTTCTGGTCAGGTATATCAACCTGAAAGGAGTGCAGGCTTAATCAGTCACTGTTTACATCATTGAACTGATGATAGAAGAGAAAATGTCTCATGAAAATCTTCCTGCATCAGCTGGCCTCAGAGAAAATATATTAAACTTGCTGGATGCTTTGGCTGTCATTTACAGGGGAATTTGAAGTTTAATGATATGTGCAAGTTGACCACCTGTTTCTGCCAGAATTTGGAAAGATGTGGCCTGCTTTAAGAATATAAATTGTTTTACTTGAAAATTAACATCTCTGCCATAAATATCTTCAAAGACAGATCTTCAAAGACTAGCCCTTGTACAGAATCTACTATTTAAATAGACTTCGCTCTTGAAAACTGTATCTTCTCAGAAGAGCTGTTATATAGTTACTCATAAATTTGCATAAATAATTTAATTGCTTAATATTAAGTTAATATGCAGCAAGTTTCTTAAATATTGACCTTCTGCTCAAAAGATCAGTATATAGTGGGATGATGATACACAGCTTTAGAAAGGTCTTGAAAATGGTAATGCAGTAATACTTTGGGTCTAGAAAAGGTGCAAATTGCATGACAAAAATCATGTCACTTATGGCTGAATTTCTCCCAGGTATAAATTTAGTGACTTTGTGGAATTGCTTTACATAGGACCTCGAAGTCAGATTTAGGTCAAATCAAGCATTTAAGTCCAAAATTTCTACTTTGAAGAGCTCTTCTGAGTTCTGTCTGGCATCATTTGAATTCCATAGGTACATTTCTTTTTTTATATTGTATGCCTGCATCATTTTAAAGCAACTCCTCCATCTAGATCTTGACTGGGCTGAGCAACTCAGCATCTAGATCAGGCTTCTACCCTGCTTGAGACCAAAACACTGGTTTAGTCTTACATGATTAGTCCATGAGTCTTAAATGATGCTCAATGTATTTGGTTTTCTGCTTACCTATGCAGTTTTGATGTAGTATGTGTTTCTGAGATGGACACCTCTGCAGGTAACACAAAAATCAGTTGTGAAACATCTCCTGCTTTTATAAGAAGCTTGAAGGAGAAGGAATTATCCATTTACCTAATACACTTTGAGCATTCCCCTAGGTAACACGAGGTACAGAGTCTGCTTCCCCAGTATTTTCAAAATCAGCAGAAGATGTGCAAGTGCTTAATTTTAGGAAAGAGGTCAGCTCTGATTGCCCTGAGGGCACTGTTGGCTAGGTAATACTTAGGATTTTTCCTGTCTCAGTGTTTCCCTCTTGACTTAACAGGTGACAACTACATGAAAGTCCTCTCTTTATAGACTTCAGGCATTCTAGCCCCAGGTGTTTGATTTTCACTATTCATCTAGCACTCCCTGTAGGGAAAAAGATTAGAAGTAAGGCAGTCATTATGTATTTTTATATTTTTAATTACCTGTTGTTTGTTGTTGGGAGGGGCAGTTTGGCCCTTGAAACTAGGAGTCTGTTTAAATAATGAAGTGTGAAGGCTGTGGGTTCATTTCTTCTTTCTGTTCTTTTTTTTTAGTTTTGTGAGACAGACAGATAGATTCAACCTGTATGTAATTGGTATGTTGGGAGGGAGGAGAAATGTGTGTATAATAGCAACTGGGGGTTCTAGTCCTCCAGTGAAATCATCTGAGTATTGCAACAAGTAGGCATGATGCTTTTCAGTTTCAGAGTGTGAGGAATCATTTCAACTGTCTTCAAACAGCTGCACAGTAGAAATTTACATTTGAGAAGCTCTTTTTGGCCTTCCCCTTGCATTCAGTGGAGAGATTTAGGCACTGTTATGACATGGCTGTTCTGCTGTACACTAGACAATTGCAGAAGAGCCAGACTGAGCCAGACCTCTGCTCCTTCCTTTCCACTGAATACATGGAGTTTAGACACGTAATTCAGTCAGAGATCTGTATGTTGGAATACAGATATGGATATGTCTAAATGGAGACTTATCAAATTTTATGTCTGTGTTTAATTTTGGTTTAGTTTTGGTAAGATGCATCTTGCCTTTTGTCTACAGCTTATAATGACATTTTCATAATTCATTCACTACTTCCCATGGGCAGTCAGGTGTTCAGCCACCTCCAGGAAAGCAGGGCTCTGTCACACCTAATGGTGACTTGGGAAGAGAAAACACTGTCATCTCAAATGCCCCCCACTTTCTCCTTCTTCCCCAGCTTTATATACTGAGCATTAATGTCATATGGTCTGGGATATCCCTCTGGTCAGTTGGGGTCAGCTCCTTGTGCTCCCCCAGCCCGTCCACTGTTAGGGTGGGGTGAGAGGCAGAAAAGGCTTTGGCTCTGTGCAAGCCCTGCTCAGCAGTAAGGAAAACATCCCTGCATTATCAGCACTGTTTTCAGCACAAATCTAAAACACAGCCCCATACTAGGTAGTATGAAGAAAACTAAATCTATCCCAGCCAACCCCTGCACACTCTGTTAATAAAAGAGATAATTAATATTCTCAGGTAGTAGATTCTCTTGCAGACCTCTCTATTTGTTAGTCATTTCTGAAAGCAATAAAAAAAACTGTAGAAGTGTTATGTTTTACCTTGACATGCACACATAATATTTATAGGTATACTCTATACCACTAGGAGGCTCTTGTTAAAACATAGTAATTAAGATGGAGCTTCAATTGAGATGTTTACTGATTTATTAATTTTTTAAAAATAAAACTCTTTTGTATCCTTAATGGATTCAAATGCAAACCTCACATGTGGTTTTGAAAGGGCAGCCAAATAAAAACTTCACATCAGAGAATTATCAAGGCAGGGCACCTGTGTGTGGCAGCCTTTGGGGCACAAATATTTTGCCAATAAATGCACCTCTAATTGTCCCTACCACAGGAACTGCCAACATCAGCTGCTCTGTATTGCTTCATTAGGTCATTCTTTCAGGGAGCAGAGCCAGTAATAAATAGGCATCCTCCTGGGAGCAGCTTGCAGTTGCTTAGCATGAGAAACAGTAATGTCATGCTCCCGACCTGCATTATGATTACCTTGTGGCTTGTAGAGAGAGAGAAATTGCAGAGCTCCACAGAGCCCAAAAATGTCAGTGTCACAAGGTAAGTGATGAACTCTGGGCTTCATGAGGAGCCCAGAGCCAGCCACGGTCCTTCACAGCCATTTGCCCACCATGGGTTAATTTCTAAAGAGTGTCAACTTTGTCACAGTTGCAACAGTCTCTCTGGTTTCCTGTAGGCAGCAGTGAATCATACCAGTAAATGAATACTTACTTATAGGTGCATTTCTCTTGTATCCCAGAGCAATTTTCCCAGGCTTCAAAATGACACTTGAGATGAAAACAGATAAAGAATGAAGCTAGGTAGTGGCTGTGGTGACATTGATGATACTGATAGCTGCTGCAGAGTAATTCTTTCCCAAAAGGGAAAAGCAGAATGAGGCTAAAACTAGAACATACACACCCCATCTTACAGCTCATCACCAAGCTCCTCCTTGCAGGGATTCTGCTCCTCAAACCATGTGTATCACAGTTACACCAATACTGTGGGTTTCCAACCTACAACACAGTCCTGAGGAAAAGCACTCCCTAATTTACTGTCCTGTAGCAGGAAATGGGAAGGAAGATTTGCTCAGGCCAACACCTCTGGGTAATTAGCTGTACACAGCATCTCGTGCTGAAACAGCATCTTCCAGAGATACAACAGAAAGACAAAGAACAACTGTTTACTGTGTGTTAGAACTGGAGAACTAGGGCCCTGCTGAGGTTTCATGATTTAGGGTGTAAGATTTCGCTTGACCATGACTTCAGACAAGAGAAAAAATGTCCTCAGACACTCGTGTGGCACCGACTGTCACAATGTGTGAGATGAGCTGGAATTATCGCAGACTCTGAGGTTCCTGATTGCTATGAATGGGTTCTTGTCACCTCACATTTGTGGTCTTGGTGCAGATACCAATGTTGGAACAGGGAATTTGAGAGTGGGCTAAGGGGGAGAGGTTGGGGGGATGGGGTGGAGAGAAAGGTGGAAATGTGAGCGGGCCATTCTGAGTGATTCAGTGAGGCAACATGAGAGGGCGTAAGACAGGATGCATGAATTCTGTAACTGCTGTTTTATCTCTCTGCTCATCACTGTGAGGGTGAGAATAGCTCTGACTCCGGTCATCATCCCGTGCTTATTTCTGTTAGGGGAATTACTTCAAGGCAGGAGCTGAAAATTACCTTCTTTTGGGTAAGCACTGTAGAAGTGTGATGATACCAATAAAAAGAGCAGGCCAGGTTTTCCTACCTGTTCTGTGATGGTTTTGCAGAGGCAGGGCATGTGGGCAACTAATAAAGTGTAGCAGATCCTCACAGATTCTGTCCCAGTCCCCTTTGGAGTGTGTGCTGTAGATGAGATGGGCTGCCTGAGAGCTCCTGAGGAGGTCACTGAGGAGGCTTTGCCCCTTGGGCCTCTGATGGGACATGTGTCATGACACGCTCCCACCTGGTGGGATGGCACAGTGACCACAGCGTTGAGTCAGAATGCAATGGTAGGGGTAGGACGGGGAAGGAAGGAGACTTCCTCATCCATTGCCTTCCAAAAGACCTGCCTCTTGCTTCCATATACAGCTCTGGCTGCTTATTGACTCTAGGATCTAGCATCAAAGCTTGAGTATTCCCCAAAGACATCGTTACACTTATGGATATACACTTCTGGGTTTGCTGATGTCCTGTTCCAATCATGTGGCACTTAGGGCATCAATTCTGAGCAACAGTAGAAGGCTGGAATTTGGAATACTATGTGCATAAAGATATGATA